CCCTCGCCCAGGGAGCCTCGGGGCGCCGCCGGCTGGACCCCTGCGACCCCGCAGGCGGCCCCAGGCCTGCAGGAGCCCTCCCCCCTCAAGTTGGTCTCTTCCAGGAAACCCGCAGCCCCCTCGGCTCCCCTAGGCCTCCCAGTGCCCTAGACCGGTCCCTCTGCTCAGCCTTAGGTTCCTGGAAGTCCCAAGACCTCTGTTAAGCCTTGCTCAGTCACCCAACCCCCGCCCCTGCAAGCTGGCTTCTTGCAAGGCCCCCCCCAGCCCTCCGAAACTGTACTGAACCCTAAGGCCAATCCCTCAACTCAACTCACTCCAGCCCAAGAGACCCCACTGTCCCCGCTGACCTAACAGTTCAGTTTGGACCCAACAACACTCCACCCCCACCCCCGCTAATTCCGGGACCCACCAGCCTATAGACCAACTCACTCATGAGCTCTGTTGCTGTAAAACTACTAAATAAAGCTTTGGGCATTGGCATCCCACCTTGTTGTAAAACAACAAAATAGATGCACTCCAGGAGTACAAGGATATTTCATTAGGGAATCTGTAAATTCATTGGCACTCATTGGTAGGTTAAGGGACAATAAATCACATTATCAAGAGGATAGCTAGCTGGCTAGAAGTCCACTTGGCTGAAGCTCAAAAGTCACATTTGCCAATCAGCTTGATCAATATTAAAGGTAGTATTTGTGGCAGTTACATAATCTCCTGTCAACTTGAGATGGAGTGGAGTTTGGCCTGTCAATCAGGTCACAGCTTGATGACCTCATTTGGAGGCACCATGGAGATAAATAGCTCACCTGAGGCCAGATACACACAGACTCTCTGCTTCGTCTTCCTGCTGACAAGACGAGACACATGGAGCTACACTAGAGTCCTGAGGCTGGAGGAGCCACATTGAGACCCCTGCCAGCGCTGAGATGCTTCCACCGCCACTGGATCCATAAGACTTTCCACCCACTGACCTGTGAGCTTCCTGCATTCAGCTTCATTGTATGTGTGTGTGAGTCTGAAGAGGAATTTATAGACTGGTATCAGACATATGAGCTAATATCAGACTTACAGACTTGATCCAGACTGGGGTGGTGTATTTTCTTAATATACAATTACTCTTTATATAAAACTCTTCTTATACACATATGAGTGTGTATGAACTTGTTTCTCTAGTCCACCCAGACTAACACAATGTTTTTATATCGTTATGCCTCTTTCTTGCATGTACATCTTACTTTTGTTCCAAACTCAGGAAGAGAAGTACAGAGTTGTGAAGCAAAACCCAAAACCCCATGGCTGACTCATAGTGACCCTGTAGGATAGACTAGAACTGCCCCAGAGAGTTTCCGAGACAGCCTTGTCTTTCTCCCATGGAGCAGCTGATAGGTTTGAACTTCAGACCTTTTGGTTAGCACTTGTGCCAGCCACCAGGGATCCTTGTATCCAAGACTACTGAGTAGATTCCGAATCATAGCAAAGCTATGGGGCAGTGTAGAACTGTTGGGGGCAGTTTCCTGAGACTAAATCTTGATGGGAGCAGATAGGCTCCTCTTTGTCCCACAGGGTAGCTCGTGGGTTTGACTGTCAACCTTGCAGTTAGCAGCCCAATGCCAAACCAGGACTCCTTGTAGGGTTCTCCAAATGCAACAGGAAACCCAAGTAATTTCCATTTTGAAAGTATGATTGGAATAGAAAAAGATTATAGTCATATTAGTAATGAATACTATATAATATGTAAGCATAAACTTAAGAAATGACAACATCCATAGAAAGAAAACAATAAAACTTTACCAAAGAACATAAAAAAGAAGATCTTTTTTTTTTTTTTTGTATGTATATATTAAAACATTTTATTGGCGGCTCATACAACTCTTTTTTT